TTTCTCAGAAGGACAAATCGACTCATCCGTGCATTTCATTTTACAGAGTCAGCGAATTTCCCGCAGACGATGTTGAAGTGCGTATAGTGCCCCGTGACTGGGCAACGGTAGATCCACCAGTGCCCTTGGAGACTAAGGAGTGAGCAGTTTTCTATTCACCCTTCCTAATCATTCTTTGTTTCTTTATCTTTCTTAGAACTTACTATAATAAGTTTTTTATGGGTTTGTAGTCTTTTGCGATTTCAGCTTGAAGATCGCGCCTCATGTTCGAGATATCATTTGCTCCTTCACAGATCAGTTTTCGTTGGTGCAAAAAAGGTGGGCCAGCACAAGATTGCTTCTTTTTCATTTTTTTCTCGATAATGCTAATTTGTGTTCGCGGACGCTATCGTTTATTATACACTTCCTACTGTTGTACTGTATCGATAGTCGCTATCTTTCAGTTGCTAGTAGTTGTTTGTGGTTCTCTTCTCTCTTGCGTTATGGCTCAATATTATACTGAGAAAGTAATTGTTGTCTTTTTCAGGTATCAGCAGTTTAGTTCCGCTGATGCATACGTCCGTATGCTGATTGAGCGACCAATCATCGTCCGTTCAACCCCTCGTCCCATTTTTGAAGCTGACGCTGGTCGTGCTGAACGAGTTGCAAGAAGCGTTAGCGTCGTGGGAGATTCGGTGAGGGTTGCATACTTCTTTGTTTCATGCTCGAAACATCTGCCTCGTTATTCATTATTTGCTGCTGTAATGGTTGTAGGGATTAAGGGCAATTGTAAGATTATTACCGGAGTTTTATCATACTCATTGATCAGACATCTCAGTGCAGGATTTGAATTGCTTTACAGCATAAAGATCTGTCATTTTGAGAGAACATTCGCCGCCTGAATCAATAACAGAATTGATTGTGATTTTAGCGCTACTGTATTTTCACCGCATCATTGTCAGCCTCTCAACTTTGATAACTACAAATTTCTATTATTTATTTCATGTCTATTTAACATTAACGATGGATTGTGACGGGGACTGCCTAGTCAAAGTTATTATCCTCCCACTTAGGTTCGATAGTTTTCTTGTAGGGGAGGGAAGTGGTTGGATCCTCGAAATGCTACGCGAGTCTTCTTGCCACGGCGATGGTTTACTTTCTAGGAGTTATCAGTCTTTCTTTTCAAATTTGATGCAGTATTTGTTTTGTGATTGTAGTGAAGACTCTCTTCTTAATCAGTGGTATTCTCGTTAAGCGGAAAAGCTCTTTTTTGATTATAGACAACCCTAATGGGTTTAATGCATGAAGTCGCGGAGTCAGATTCATTTGAGACTTTTTGAATGGCGACGGATTGCAGTATTTTTGCTTTCTTTTTCTTTTCCGTTTCCTCTTCTGACTAGCTTTGCTCTATCCCTTCCGAATATTTCATCATAGTTTAATGAGTTTAAACTTTGCCAATTTGAAAAAGCATTTGCTTTTCTTAACGGAAGTTTCCGAAGGGTTTCTTGTCACTATTTCCTCTGTCAAAGGTCGGAGGGGCTATAGTTTTCTGGGTTGTTTATAATAAAGTTCACCCATTTGCAATACATATAAACCCTTAGGAGTTGCAAGAGAATCCACTAGTTGAGCTAAAGGGTTTATCGGCTTTACGTGGGCTTTTCATCACTTTCTTTCTTTATATTATTGGCTACAAATACGTATCTTCGGGAGTTTGTAGATGGCATTACTGAGACTGTGTTCAAGCGAGATTGTTGATTCATGTTTCGAAACTGACAACGTTCATATTGGTTTATCGATTGTTATGAAGGACTCGAAGCGGCAGTCGTATGCTTCCACAGCGTCTTCTGGTACAATGGGTTCTGCAGAAGGGGACTCACGCGAATCTCGTCTTCATCAAAGTCAGCCGGACCCAACTATTCCAGGTGAGTTTTTCATTTGAGCAAAGCAAATACCTTTGTGGGGGAAGTTTGTCTTCTTTTTTCGATAAGCATGTAGAACTTCAAATTGGTGATCATGTGCACTCTAAAGACATGCCACATCGCAAGCTTCCATAAAGAAGCTAATCAAGTTCTGTGCTACTCCAAAATCTCAATTATGGATTGCCAGTTAATTGAGGCAATTAGTGCGCACACAATATTTTGTGGGATTGTTTATTTTTCTTAGTAATGGAGAATCCCGCTTAAGGAGTAATTCAACGGTCCAGTTTCACTCAGCTTGATCTGCTGAGTGATGCACGGCGACAAGCAGGTCGTCAAGCAAACC